GAAGCTTCGTATAGTGGTTCATGTGATCACTAATAGAGGTTCCCTTCTTCAATTGGAAGCGATAAAGCCTCCTCTTCAATTGAAACCCTAGACGAGCTTCCAAAGTGATCTACTCCTCCAAATTACCCAAGCATAGCCCGAGCTCTGATACCACTTGTTGTGCACAATAGAAATTTTGACAGCACATCTGGTGCTTGACAAGAGATTAGATCTCAACTAAATCTCTGCAAAGGAAACAAGAACCAAAAGTAAAATATCTCAACAAAGTGGGATATCAGCTCTTCCTCTCATCAGTTCTAGGATTGACCTATCGAGGGAACCTAAACTCTCTATTACAAGTCACAGCATGAACAATCAATTTTAACGTGGTTCGATAAATTATCGATGTCCACGGGGTAGGGGGAGATCTACTATTAGAGAAAGAGAATACAAATGTGTTTACAATCACACAAATTAAACCCTCAAACTAACTCTCAAATCTCTCACAAAACATCCACTTTTTCTCTCTACGAATTTTCCCTTTTCACAGCCGCCAAAGCCTGCTTCTCCCCTTTTTGCACTTGCACACCAGCCAAAAATTTCCCCTGTTGTACAGCCACCCTACCTTGCACACAGAAAGAGAAAATCCTAGCTGTCGTATTTATAGGCGCTCCTGGCCTCTGCACTCATAGGTGTGGCCCCTATAAGATTGGCCACGACTTGCTGTTTCTTAGCCTCCTACGCGCAAATTTGAAAACCCGCTGGACTTCTCCCCACTTCACGCATTTTGCTGAGTTCGTGGCCCCCACTTGCCTTTCTCTCTTCACGTGCATTCACAAAAGAGATTTTTTTGCATTGGGGTTTTGCTATGATGATTTGTGTACTTGGTGCTAGTTTCATGCACTTTATCCAAAGAATTAAACCCGAAGAGCATTAGAGTTGTCTAAATTTGGAAATTTCTACAATGAATTCTTTTGATCTCTATTTTTTGTATTGGTTGAGTTTCAGTAGTAGTCATGATTGTAAATAATGACTTCAGTTACGTTGATATTTTTTGTTTCCAGTGTTTATTTTTGAGCCATTACGGATTTGTTCCACTTGCTATTTTTCAAGTTTAGGTAATGATATATTCTATTTGTTACTTGCAGGCTTCGAAACGTCTATTTGACATGCTAAGATTGCTGAAGTTGATGGATCTCCCTGCAGAAGCCAAAAATGTATGTATTCATATCTCGTTCTAAACTTCAATTTCTGATTGTTCATCAAAAGGCATCAGCTTTTTTTCCTGAAATTAATGCAATGATTATGCTTTGGTTTTCTAATTGGATTACTGTTATTGGTTTGCTGTAGGCTACAAATTATCACCGGTACGAAAAGAAGCGACATTAAAGAGATCAGGAACTTTGCCGAGTTTCTTTTCAAGCAAGTTTTTTTGCAGTATGATACATTCAGTATTTTAGTATATACTTTTTAGAATGTTGGCGGTTTCAGTATTTTACCCTTTTTTTTAATATGTACACATCTCAGTTTGTTCTTTGGTAGATTGACTTCCGCTCCTATGAACTTGTTATTAATTAAGACAAGAAATTTCAAGTTCTCTTACCTATGCAATCAGCTGAATGTAAACTTCTAAGTTGTATTATGCTCAGTAATAGTAGTGTTGAACTTAGCTTCTTAAATTAAACATAGGATTCAAGAATATACTAATCAAAGCAGATTAGCATGTGATCAAGCAATCTCAGAATTACAACTTGTTTGAAATGTCAGAGAGAGTACTTGTACATTTATGCTTCCATAAATATTCTTTTCTTTCTATATATAGACTTTATTGAACTAACTTTTGATATGCATCAACCTTGTAGTAGATTTCCTGATCTTTTTCTTGGTTTCAATCTTTGGCAATAAGAGCTTGAAGGTTCTTTCAAATGAGTGGAAGAATGGTACTGAATATTTGACTGGTAAGATTTTATCTTCTTCTTTTCTACCTGTGATTTTTTTTAGTTTCTCGTAATTAATCAATGGTCACAATTTGCAGAAACCACCAGAGTCTCTGCTGTTGAATGTCCCGCAAAAGTGGAAGACCTTTCTTTGATATGTGGGATTCCTTTTCCACCACCAGATACTACACAAACTGTCTCAATGGATTACTCGAATGTACTAATTCAACTCTAAATATTACCTAAATTTCATTTATGTAATTGTTCTGCAATCAACTAATTTAACAACAACTTCAAACATTTACAATAAACTCAAAGAAACAGTCTTTTTATAAGACTTTCAATAAAAATTATAACTTTTTTTCAAACAAACGCAACGGATGTTTATCTTCCGTTGCTTGCGTGTGATCTTGGCCTGTGACGGGGACGTGATATTCGTGGACCACCAAACGATCAGATCAGATCCGGAGCTTTATTGATTCGTGAAGATATCAAGAAACCGAAGCAATTATCTCAGCAACAGTGAGATAATCACTCTTCTCAAGATCATCGCAACGGGGCAATCTTAAGGAAAAGAACCGGGAACCGTAGATCTGACGAACTCTTCTTCTCTATACTGAAGAACTCGATCCGATCTCCTCCTCTCTTCTGAAATTCGTGCTCCTTCAGTCTTCAATTCAGCAGAGCTTCGCCGATGCTTGAGAATTCCAGCTTTAAAAAAATGAAGGCCCGGGGGCTGTATTTATAGGCTTTGGGACATTTGTTTTCGGATAAGAACGATGTTTTCGGATAAGAACGATCGATTCACTCTTATCTTCAGTTATAACCACTTAACCATATTCTTAGATGATATTTCATTAGTTGAAACAAATCTAGATGGTTAACGATCGATAAACAGTTCAAAACAGCCAAAAACAAGTTTTCGGAGCTGTGGACGCCCGCGGTGCCTCGGCAGTGGCCGAGACACCTTTGGATGTCTTAGCTTGTTTTACATCTAACTTTCTCATACGACCTCCAAATAAAATGATTCAAGATGCGTTGGAAAGCTGACGAAAAGATCTACAACTTTTATCTTTTGATCTTTTCATATTCGAATCAAATCATAGTCAAAATATCCATTCTTTTCTAAGACACCAACACTGTCTCGGAATTCTGAGACAGTTTATACTATCTTTGATATTTTAGTTTTATCTCTCTCATACGATCTCAGAATAAGTTGATCCAAGATGAGTTAGAAATCTAACAAGGAGATCTATAAATTTAATTTTTTGAGCTTTTTCATATTCGAATCTAATCATGGCCAAAATCTTCATTCTTCTCCGAGATACCAACACTGTCTCGAAATTCTGAGGTAGTTTATACTATTTTTGGTATTTTAGCTTTATCTCTCTCATACGATCTCGGAATAAGTTGATCTAAGATGAGTAAGAAATCTAACAAGGATCTCTACAACTTTCATCTTTTGAGCTTCTTCAGATTCAAAGTGAGACAGTCTCTACCAAGGTCGAGACACTTGGAGTGTTTCCGCTAAGGCCCCGGGCATTGCTTCGTGCGTCTCGTCCATTTCCGTCATATCTTCGTCATCCGAACTCAGAATTGCACGATGCAAAGTGAGAAGGAAATCCAACGAGAAGATCCACAAGCTCCCATGGTTGAATCATATGTGGAGTAGATGAGACACGAGGGGCGCTTCGTCTTTCGTAAGCGAAGCTTAGCTCTCGATCAGTTATTCTGCAGTTCTGTTGCTTCATATTGTTCGTCGACTTACGTCATGCGTTTATCGACATCAATTAAGCTTTTGTGATCCAGATAGTGACGTTCATCGTCTTCTCTCTGTCTAAAGCCATGTGCGGGAATTCATGGGCAATTTTTAACACCTACAGTATTCGTCATCCGGCAAGGAACTCAACAACAACGCCTTTTCCTCATCTTTAATCATAACATCCATACTCACCAAATCCGTAAGAAGCTTCGTATAGTGGTTCATGTGATCACTAATAGAGGTTCCCTTCTTCAATTGGAAGCGATAAAGCCTCCTCTTCAATTGAAACCCTAGACGAGCTTCCAAAGTGATCTACTCCTCCAAATTACCCAAGCATAGCCCGAGCTCTGATACCACTTGTTGTGCACAATAGAAATTTTGACAGCACATCTGGTGCTTGACAAGAGATTAGATCTCAACTAAATCTCTGCAAAGGAAACAAGAACCAAAAGTAAAATATCTCAACAAAGTGGGATATCAGCTCTTCCTCTCATCAGTTCTAGGATTGACCTATCGAGGGAACCTAAACTCTCTATTACAAGTCACAGCATGAACAATCAATTTTAACGTGGTTCGATAAATTATCGATGTCCACGGGGTAGGGGGAGATCTACTATTAGAGAAAGAGAATACAAATGTGTTTACAATCACACAAATTAAACCCTCAAACTAACTCTCAAATCTCTCACAAAACATCCACTTTTTCTCTCTACGAATTTTCCCTTTTCACAGCCGCCAAAGCCTGCTTCTCCCCTTTTTGCACTTGCACACCAGCCAAAAATTTCCCCTGTTGTACAGCCACCCTACCTTGCACACAGAAAGAGAAAATCCTAGCTGTCGTATTTATAGGCGCTCCTGGCCTCTGCACTCATAGGTGTGGCCCCTATAAGATTGGCCACGACTTGCTGTTTCTTAGCCTCCTACGCGCAAATTTGAAAACCCGCTGGACTTCTCCCCACTTCACGCATTTTGCTGAGTTCGTGGCCCCCACTTGCCTTTCTCTCTTCACGTGCATTCACAAAAGAGATTTTTTTGCATTGGGGTTTTGCTATGATGATTTGTGTACTTGGTGCTAGTTTCATGCACTTTATCCAAAGAATTAAACCCGAAGAGCATTAGAGTTGTCTAAATTTGGAAATTTCTACAATGAATTCTTTTGATCTCTATTTTTTGTATTGGTTGAGTTTCAGTAGTAGTCATGATTGTAAATAATGACTTGAATTCTTTTGATCTCTATTTTTTGTATTGGTTGAGTTTCAGTAGTAGTCATGATTGTAAATAATGACTTCAGTTACGTTGATATTTTTTGTTTCCATTGGTTGAGTTTCAGTAGTAGTCATGATTGTAAATAATGACTTCAGTTACGTTGATATTTTTTGTTTCCAGTGTTTATTTTTGAGCCATTACGGATTTGTTCCACTTGCTATTTTTCAAGTTTAGGTAATGATATATTCTATTTGTTACTTGCAGGCTTCGAAACGTCTATTTGACATGCTAAGATTGCTGAAGTTGATGGATCTCCCTGCAGAAGCCAAAAATGTATGTATTCATATCTCGTTCTAAACTTCAATTTCTGATTGTTCATCAAAAGGCATCAGCTTTTTTTCCTGAAATTAATGCAATGATTATGCTTTGGTTTTCTAATTGGATTACTGTTATTGGTTTGCTGTAGGCTACAAATTATCACCGGTACGAAAAGAAGCGACATTAAAGAGATCAGGAACTTTGCCGAGTTTCTTTTCAAGCAAGTTTTTGTGCAGTATGATACATTCAGTATTTTAGTATATACTTTTTAGAATGTTGGCGGTTTCAGTATTTTACCCTTTTTTTTAATATGTACACATCTCAGTTTGTTCTTTGGTAGATTGACTTCCGCTCCTATGAACTTGTTATTAATTGAGACAAGAAATTTCAAGTTCTCTTACCTATGCAATCAGCTGAATGTAAACTTCTAAGTTGTATTATGCTCAGTAATAGTAGTGTTGAACTTAGCTTCTTAAATTAAACATAGGATTCAAGAATATACTAATCAAAGCAGATTAGCATGTGATCAAGCAATCTCAGAATTACAACTTGTTTGAAATGTCAGAGAGAGTACTTGTACATTTATGCTTCCATAAATATTCTTTTCTTTCTATATATAGACTTTATTGAACTAACTTTTGATATGCATCAACCTTGTAGTAGATTTCCTGATCTTTTTCTTGGTTTCAATCTTTGGCAATAAGAGCTTGAAGGTTCTTTCAAATGAGTGGAAGAATGGTACTGAATATTTGACTGGTAAGATTTTATCTTCTTCTTTTCTACCTGTGATTTTTTTTAGTTTCTCGTAATTAATCAATGGTCACAATTTGCAGAAACCACCAGAGTCTCTGCTGTTGAATGTCCCGCAAAAGTGGAAGACCTTTCTTTGATATGTGGGATTCCTTTTCCACCACCAGATACTACACAAACTGTCTCAATGGATTACTCGAATGTACTAATTCAACTCTAAATATTACCTAAATTTCATTTATGTAAATGTTCTGCAATCAACTAATTTAACATCCACGTATCATTCAATTCTGAGATAGAAGAAAATATCGTTGAGAAGAAAGATGTCAGTGAGATGAGGTTCCACGTATCATTCAATTCTGAGATAGAAGAAAATATCGTTGAGAAGAAAGATGTCAGTGAGATGAGGTGAGAGGAAAATATCACAGAGAAGAACGATGACACTGACATGAAGCGAAAACCAAAACCTATTGTGTTAAAGTATGAAGACGAACTGGAGGCTTTAAAGAGGAAGCTAAGAGAAGGATGCAAGTGTTTGCGGTAAAAGTTGATGTTTTCATTGTTATCGAATCTATTACAACTTTAATCGTTACAATAAACTCGAATGAAATAAAAAGTTGATCTTTTTATAAGATCTCTTTACACAATGAAAATAAAAAGTTTACAACTTTATCAAACAAACGCAGAGATCGTTTATCGGTCTTCTGCTTGCGTGGGATCTTTGCCTGTGCCGGGGTTTATCCGTGGACCACCGTCGATCAGATCTGATTACTGAAAAATTGGACAGAGCTTCGTCTATCCACGAAGGGATCGAGAAACCGTAGCTCTTATCTCGGTGAAGCGAGATAATCACTCTTCTTAAGATTACCGCAACGGGATAATCTTAAGGAACGAACCCGGGGAACTGCAGATCTGAAGAATCTCTCCCTCTTGCGTTGAAGAACTCGATCCGATCTCTCCTCCTCCTCTCTGAAATTCGTGCACCTTCAGTCTTCGATCCGACAGGGCTTCGCCTAATCTCCAAAATTCCAGATCTGAAAAAATGAGGCTCCGGGACTTGTATTTATAGGCACGGGACGAATCTGAGTTGGAGACACCCCCTGGTGTCTCAACCAGCGCCGAGACACCCAATATCCCGGTGCTGCCGAAGCTGTCGTGCCGCAGCCGATGATCAAGATCCCGGTGCTCTGTAGGCTGTCTAAAAATCACAATAGATAGTTTATCCCCCATCAACCACCGATGATGGAAGTTACAATCTGACGACTTCCAGAAGGCTGTAATCTGAAGACTTTCGCGTAGATCGCTGAAGGTTACAATCTGACGACCTTCACGACAACTGATGGAAGCTCTACTTCAACAGCCTTCACAATCAACATCGGGAGTTACAATCTGACGACTCTCATATTCTCAAGGAGCCAAGAAACATCGGGAGTTACAATCTGACGACTCTCATATTCTCAAGGAGCCAAGACGAAGATTACAAGACAATGATCTTTGCAACGCTATGACAAAAAGAGATTACTTGGTGATAATCTCTGCAAGGCAAAACGCGGAGGTCCTCCCCGTGTTATAACATCAAAACGCCAGGGTCGAACCCCGCGTCACAACATCAAAAAAACGCCAGGGTCGAACCCCGCGTCACAACATCAAAAAAACGCCAGGGTTACAACAGGCGAAACGTGAGCGACCCTCGCGTTCGTAGGGGTCCAGCCAACACCGACCCCCGCGTTTCTAAGCTACAACAAACCAAAACGCGAGCGACCCTCGCGTTCATCAATGTTCAGCCAACACCCAACCTCGCGTCTCAATCCTAAGACGTGAGGTTAGGGTCCTGAACGCCAACGTGGGCGTTTGACTCATTCAACATGAGTTGAACGGTTCTAAAACCGTTTCCCACGATTTGGGGGCGGTTACATCCCACTTAGGAGAGATTTAAGGGGCGGTTTCACCCCCTTAATCCTTTATAAATAACTGAAGATCAATTCAGTTCGGGGGTTTCTCTTCTGGCTGGGGTTCGGTGGGATTTCCTCAGCTAAGATCGACCACCAGAGCCTTGGCTTATTAACCGATCTTCGGTTCAAATCAACTCTTTTGCAGAGTTCTTATAAACTCGTTCTGAGTTCTCAAACTTGCCACGCAAGTTCTCCACAACGTCAAATCGTGAGGAGAAGACATTGTTCCAGTGAATCAAGACGTGCGGATCGTCAACGGAGAGCAAACTCGACGCGAGCATTCGAGGGAGGCACTCCATCGCCACCGTGAAGAACCCAGTTTTAAACAAAGAGGAAGAACCGATTTCGTTCTCCTCTCTTTTGTAATCAAGTTGTAATCGGAATCAAAGAAATACAAATCAATTTTCTTTATTCTCTTCTTTTCTTCAGACTGAAGCCCCAAGAAGACGATCTCTCCGCCGTCGCTGCTGTAGTTACACCTCGCAACGATCCGCCGACTTCCAAAGAAACCAGATCCAACGTTCGTGACAACTCCTCGAAAGTCAAGGAGTTGCCCGTTGAAAGTGCACCAGTGTTGACGAAGAGGGCTCGTCAAAGGCGCCGTTAACATCTCGCGCGTCAATTTGCCAAGGCTTTGGAGCCTGTTGACGGGATCTGCTATGATGCGGATCTGAAACGCAGAAGGCGCAAAGTGTTCCAGCAACAAGCTTTGGGAACCTCCTCCCAACCACCTACTAATGAATGGGTTCGTATCAAACGAACCCGTTCAACTCTTGAGGAGCGCATCCATAAGCGCCGCGCACTGTTAGCGCAGACGAGGATCCTTGTACGGAATGCACAGGAGTTACAGAAAGGAAAGGTGGTCAAAAAGCCACCAAGATCTAAGCAAGGTTGGATGCCAAAGGCCAAGTCAGCGTCTAAGGAAAAAGCATCCGAGGCTGCTCTCCGGCCTTTGTCAACTCCAGATCCCACTCCTATTGCTCCCGCACCTCCGGTGAAGCTCTATGATAGCGTGGATCTCCCCAAATCTAGAATCCCATTGAAGGATCGTATTGGCTCTCTACCCGAGGATCGAGGCAAAGCACCTATTAAAGAACGATTAGGATTATTAAAGGAGCTTCGAACAAACATCCGGACTGGGGGGCGTACGCGACCTCCTAACAAATTAATTTCTACAATAGCCCGCTTAGAGGTACGTGCAGAAAACCAGGAGCCCGTTAAGGTTTCACCCTCACAAGGGTGTGATTCCAAACGTGTGACTCCTGCGGACGCCAACAAGGTAATGTTTACTCAGAGGAAAACACGTCAGACAGACGAACGCGTTATACCTGAGAATTCATATAAACAGCCGATAGGTTGCTCTGACTACAACTTCGATGAGTTGTACTATCGGGCTGGGGGTACGAATAAATCTCGAAAGAGAAGTACCCGGGAAGCGGACTCTCACTGTCCGTGTACCAAAATTATCAGGGCAGTATTATCAGCGTATAGCTGCCCCAAGACCGCTCTACAGAGGGTCTCGGTATTCGAGAGGATCTCCGATGGAACGACGAAGCCCAAATCAAGGCGTTTCCACCAAAGAGGATCGGTTGCTCGAGATGATGAATTCCCAGAAGTTACCATCAACATGGTCAATAAGGGAAAATCTCCGATTGTTTCAAGTGGTTCCAACCCTAATTTCTCTCCAGGAAGAAGAGTCGATTCGGAAATAACCCAACGAATATCTCAGCTTCAGCTAGAAGCCGTTGGACATAATGATTACCAGGGTGTCCATGAAGGAATCCATTCCGATGACGAACTCTCGGATTCTTATTCCGCAATTACCTCTGACGATACAACGTCTAGCATAGGACAAGCTCGGGAAGTGTTCATGGTCAACACCGAGCAAATAACCAAAATCATTGAGGATGCTCTAGCCAAACAAAAAGAGAACTTCAAGTTCGAAATGGAAATGGCTATGCAGGAGATGAGACAAATGCACGACCAACAAATCCGAGCTTTATCGAATCAGCTAGGTGAGTCCATCCGTCGCAGCACTGCTAACCAAGCAGGTAGTGATTCAGATGTGGATGAACACAACGCTGGGGGTGGTCCTACTAAAAATAACGACGCTGGGGGTGGACCCATCAATGATGATAACACTGGGGGTGGTCACATTATTCCTCTTGAAAATTGTCCAAAACAGGATATAAATGAGGACGAAAAGATGAAGGACCTCGAGAGAAAAATTAACGCTCTAATGTCTGCTCAAGAGGTAAAGAAGACCGGCATTCCGTGTCCTTACCCGAAAGAGTGGGATTCGATCCCGTATCCGGTGAAGTTCAACCTGATCAACTTCACGCCGTTCGACGGGAAGGGCTCGCCCACTCAGCATCTAATCTACTTCAAGTCCCACTTGGGCACGATCTCCGGCAACGAGCCCTTGATGGTGCGGTCATTCATTGGCACCCTTCGCGGGCCTGCCTTCGATTGGTACCGTCGTCTTAAGCCCGGAAGCATCAACAGCTGGGAGGACCTGGAGAGCATCTTCCTCACTCATTTCTTCGATGATGACGCCGAAGTGTCGATCAGGACACTCTTCGATGAGAAACAAAAAGACGGAGAGTCGATGGATACCTTCATCAAACGATTCCGTAATCAGGCAATGAACTACAAGGATCCCGTCACGGAGGAATTCGTCTTGCAGACTTGTCATAACAACTTATCCATTAATATCTTGGACGTTATGGGAGTAGAGCCGCTCAATACCTGGAAAGAGTTGAAGGTGCGCGGAGAGCAGGCCGAACGCTTTCTCAGAAGGAGGAAGGTCGAAAGAATCCAACCGATGGCTAACCCTCTGAATCCGAGTCTCGTCTCCCATAATGAAGGGAAGACACCTACAATAGTTGTTGACGTTAATCATACGTCACAACAGCAGTCCCGAAGACAGCAGAAGACTTCGGATTCGAGGCTCCAAAAAGAGTACTCATTCAAGGACGAGGACGTTCCAGCCATCTTCGAGACCCTTCTTGAAAACAACAAGATCAAGCTACCACCCATCACAAATCAGGAGGAAGCTGACAATACTGCGGATCCAAAGTACTGCGCGTACCACAGGAGGATCCTTCATCCCACCAACGCTTGCTTTACTTTAAAGAATAGCATCCAAACCTTGGTTGAAGCCGGCGTCATAACGCTAGGATAGGCCAAATGAGAACGGCATTACTCCGAAGAGTACACGAGTATAAACTGCTTCTCAATACTCCGAAGAGTATACGAGTATAAACTGCTTCTCAATCCTCTAATCGGTATATGAGGTTAAACTGCTCCCTGATACTCCAATAGGTATATGAGTCTAAACTGTTTCCTACCGTTGATGGGAAGTTCCTGGAGAATATTACGCTAATATTCTTAAGGATAACCCGGTCATGTAACGGAGTACAAAGTCAGACCCAGTTCCAAGAAAGAAGCTGGGGGTGGA